TCCCTCTCTGAAATATATATATGTATATATATATATATATATATATATATATATATATATATATATGAAACACTACACGTAGTATCACATGTCACACTCTCCAATGGGGGGCGGGGCGGAGAGGGAGAGAAGAAGGCACTTGTTTCTATACCATCCTGCAGAGAAAGCATGGTAGCAGAACAATATTGTCTCTTCCCTTTTCTCTTTCAGTGACTAAGAAATAATTCAAAGGAATTGTAAAGTTATATTTTTCAGGTATGGGCATGTTAAAATTACTAAAGGGCATAAATAGAATATTGTATAAAGCTACCATTGGGCCAGGAGTAAGTACCCTTTGACAGGGTTTCTATTGAGTAGCAGAGAGCTATGCCCTTCACCTCCCTCCTTCTCTCTCTCCACCCATTCATCCTCTGACATTTTCAACTTTTGCCTGTTCTAATACTGCATTGCTTTTCCTGTTTTCTTTTTTGTCTTCTTTCTTTTCCACCCTGTTCTCTTTCCCACTTACCATGATACATATATCATCTTACTTCTCAAAAGGACACTATGAGTTAGCTGCTCTAATTATGTTCTTTATAGGAGGGAAGTTTTGTGGGAAAGTCAGTGGCATGCCCAAGGCTACACAAGAAATAAAGGCAGAAGCAGATCTCAAACCTAAGTCCATCTGACACAGTGTGTGCTTAAGCACAAAACTCTTCATGTCTCAGTTAGTGTCACTGGGCTTCCTGGTGGCAGTTATAGTTAGAGGCAAAATGTTGCCCATCTCTGACCTGACTCAGCTCCTCAGGTGTTGATGCTGTAAGAATAAAAACGTATGAGAAGTGCAAATCAAAAATGTCAGAATGTCATTTTCACTGAAAGCTATACACGAGTGTGTACTGTACTGATATGCTCCAGCAAATACACACGCACGCACGCGCGCACACACATACACAAACGGTACAGTAATGGATTCAGAAAAGAAACCACCACTTTTGGGTTAGCAGAGGTGCAGTGACATGTTAGGAAGAACTGGGTAGGAATCAAGGAAAGAGGAAATAGACAGAGGGATGAGATGAAATTGGGGGGTGGCTGAATTCTGAAAGGAGTTCCCCCCACGAATGTGCTCTTTAATGCAGTTCCTTTATACAGTTGATTTGGTTTGTGATATAGAGGATAGATTTCTAGCTGTGCTGCCGGAATCCCTCCCACCTAACATATGCTTCCCGTACTATAGGCCAGAGGGCCTCAAAGGTAGAGCACGGGAGGAGAGTAAAAAGATGCATTTCTGCTTCTAAACAAAAGGTGGAAATTGCTAAGCAAATCATTTTATTAAGCTGTTCATTGTCATATTGTCAGAGAAATAAAAATATTTCTTTCCATTTTCCCATATGTGCAGACGTGACTAGTTTTATGTTATAATAGATGATTTTTAGTTTTAAAAATCTTTAAGAAATAATACCTTGGCTGATTTGACAATTATGTTATTTGGACCATAAATAAAAATTCAGGTTTTAACAATCAAGTTTTAGAAATCAAGTGCATTTTTACTTTAATGACCCATTTCATAGTGCCCCCCACAGATTTTAGGTAATTGAAAATTATTTGGTGTAATTATTATTTAATTAGTTACAGTTTATTTCTAAGGTGTCCTTTCTATAGAAAATGTCAAATAAGAGCTAAGAGATTGTGATACATCTATCTGTCCATCTACCCATCATCCATCCATCCATCCATCTACTTGTCTCTCAATCATTTAATATGTTCATACACACACACACGGAGACAGAGATTCTCAACATTGTTACTAGCTAGATGTGGCTAAAATGACCAATGTAATGTATCTCATTCTGTTACTGTACCTACTTATAACAACTGGAACTTCACATTCTGAGGCCTTATGTTCCAGTTTTACCTGGCAATGCTTAGGGTCCTGTCTTCTGCTGCTGGCACACCATATTCACTCAGTGATCTTTGAATGGACACATCCAGGGTGCCTGCTAGATGGACGGGTCTAGATCTTTGTGTCTGTGACTTTGCCCTTCAGGAATTTCTTAGTCTCCACGGGGAAGCAGACAAAGTAAGCAGGTGCTTGTAGTACCACTAGAGGCCCAGTGCACAAAATTCGTGCATTGGGGGGGGTTTCCCTCAGCCCGGCCTGCACCCACTTGCAGTCTGGGACCACTCGATCCTTATTGCCCACCCTGCTCACTGCTCCCTTATGCTTGGCTGGCTCACTGCTCCTTAGCACTGCTCCCACCACTGCCGCTGTGCTTGCCAGCTGTAAGCCCGGCTTCTGGCTGAGTGATGCTCCCCCTGTGGGAGCGCACTGACCACCAGGGGGCAGCTCCTTCATTCAGCATCTGCCACCTGGTGGTCAGTGCACATCATAACAACTGGTCATTCTGGCTATTCCACCTTAACGGTAGCATAGGCTTTTATTATATAGACTAGAGGCCCAGTGCACAAAATTCGTGCATGGGGGGGTCCCCTCAGCCCAACCTTCACCCTCTCCAATCCAGGACCGCTGGCTCCTAATCACTCATCTGCCTGCCTGCCTACCTGGTCACCCCTAACTGCCTCTGCGTGCTGGCCTGATTGCCCCTAACTGTCCCCCTGCCATCCTGGTCACCCCACACAGCCTGCTGTTCAGTCATTTGGTCGTCCATCACTAACTCCCCTGTGGGCCTGGTCATAGACAGCCATCTTGTGAGGGCGTGAGGGTTACATGTTACCTCTTTATTATGTAGGATGTGATAAGTTACAAGCAATGCAGGTCAAGAAATGCATGTTGTTTGAACATTTTCTTCCTGGTCTTCTACTTTGCTAGGTATTTTACTAGGATTATTTAATGTAATAGTCATTGTGGCTCTAGGTGGTAAATTTATTTTGACTGTAGTGATGTGAAAACTAAGCCTTAAAGTATGTATGTGTGTCATGGAGGTCCCAATGGGAAACTAAACAGCTGGCACATTCAAATTAGTACCAAAGCGTGGTTTTTCAAAGGTCTGGTGGTTTGGTGAGCCACAAGATTTGATGCAGTAAGTAACCTGGGGCTAGTGTAAGAAGAGCTGTCACTATTTCTTTTTTAAATAAATATGTTTTTATTGATTTCAGAGAGAAAGGGAAAGGGAGAGAGAGATAGAAACATCAATGATGAGAGAGAATTATTGATCAACTGCCCCCTACACATCCCCTATTGGGGATCGAGCCTGCAACCTGGGTATATGTCCTGACCTGGAATTGAACCGTGAACTCCTGATTCATAGTTTAATGCTCAACCACTGAGCCATGTTGGCTAGGCGAGCTGTCACTATTTCCAGGCCTGGAGAGATTGCAGGAGGGAGAGGTTACTGGTACCCAGAAGGAAAGAGTTAGGCAGAGACAGTCTCCTTAATAGCAATGCCATTTGTTTGAAGATCACAGAGAACCCAGCTGACCTCACAGGATGGAACCAGGGAAGTATATGGCCTGTCTGACCTCCCTTCCCTCCTTCTAATCTCCTGCCTGTGTCTCCTATGGGTAACAAAGGTGCCCATGGATTCCATAGTAACAGCCCTTGTCCAATCAGGGTAGAGAGTGGAGCTGGAGGGGCAAACATAAAACATGCAGGGCATGTTGATGTTTGCAGAAGACCAGACGGTAGTTTAAGGGTGGGATAATTCATCAATCCAAGATGTATTCTAGAACCTTTCCAGCTTACTTATACCTTAAACTGAAATGGCCATGCCTGCTCTTGGTGGTTCCCAGCTGCTGTAGTTTTGTAATATTACCTAACCATGTGCTCCAGTGTTTGCAGTCTTTCCTTTGAGTCACTCTCATGTTGCATTCTCCCTTCTGCTCATTTCACAACTGCTCTCTCATCTACCTTTTAAAAACATCCAGCTTAGGTGGGCAGAACTGGCACAAACTCTATCCGAATGTGTTTTTCAAGTGAATCCATTAGCATTTCCATATTACTTGGAGGCTCACTTTTTCTTCTCTGTGCTTTTCCTGCCATTGGGAAGCACAGTATCCAGCTGATGATGAGATGACTTGATGGCCTATTGAACTCATGCTGTTTGTGATGTCCGTAATAAAATACTGACTTATCATTTCATGAAACCTTATGCTCTTAGCAGAATTTTACCATTTATCATAACATCCATTTTCTACCTCCAAGCTTGGACTGCTTCCACTGCTTTATATTTATCAAAATGGAAATCCTTATTCAAATAGCATCTAAACATTTAATGCAATTCAGTAACCATCAACAAAGCACCTACAATGTGCCGGGCTCAATTCTAAGAATAAACATTTAGGGGATATCACTTAATTAAAATAATTATACTAAGTGAGATGGGCAGCCAGTGGTGGGCTTTGATCAAAGAGGGTCCTGATGTGACTTATATTTTCAGTATGTTTTCTCTTTTTTGTTAAGAATGGATTATAGCAGAACAAATGCCAGAACTGGGAGACATTAAAGATAAAGTATATGTTCTACGAAGAACACTTTGCAAAGTAGAAGAATCAAGATAGGATATAAAGTTGTCTTTTAAAACTCACTCTAATCCTATTATTCTCCTGCTTAAATGTCATATGCAGCTTCCTTCACCAGGCACTCACACATCGATTCATTCATTCAGCTAGTTATTGAAAAAGGTTCCTCAATGGCCACCATGTGCCAGGCACTGTGCCTGATGCTGGCAATGAGCCGGTGAGCAGACACACCCAGCCTGCACCAGTGAGCTGGCATTGTCGCAGGGAAGACAATTCAAAAGTATCCCAGTGCCTTCAGTATGGAGTACCACTCAGTGTAACATCTTCTTTCTCCATGTGCAGTCTTTCTACATCACTAGACATTCTCAAAACATGCCAAACCTACACTTTAAAACCAGGAGAACTTGATCAGACTCTTCTTACCTGAAATACCCTTCCCCCAACCCCATCCTCCTTTTCCACCAGGGAACATCATCTGGATTATTATGCCATCTCATTCTTTCTTGAACTCCCCAAACAATGTACTTATCCTGCTGGCATAGCTCTTACAGCGTAACAATAGGAGCTGTGTGTGCGAGGGTCTTCATTGGTATGCTGGGAGCTTCTGAGGACACCTTACAGCCCCAGAATCTAGCTCAGGGCAGCTGAATTCGAGTGTATAAGGGTGACGGGGTGAGGTGTTTGGGGAGTTAAAAATGAATTCAGTAACTAAGGAATGTTTTGGGGAAATAAGAAAGGACCACTCGCAACAATTAGAGAGCAAGAGATAGTATGTAATCAAGGACTGAAATGCTGCAAACTGTACACCAATGGGGAGGAGACCTTGTGTTCTGGAAGTTTTAAGCGAGGCAGCGGTGCTTTTGGATTTGTTAGGTTCTTGAAGCGCATTAAGGAGACCTTTGCATTTAGTGTGTCTGTAGGAGTCCTGAAGGGCCAGAGTCAGGGTATCCAGATGGTGAGGAATTGCCATCGTTCTGTAGAGGAAGAGGTCGGTCTTGAGTTTGAGGATGCCTTGATGAGACAGTCTCTAGCACCCCTTGAAAAATGAGTCTCTGGTCTTGAATTGCTTCCCTCTGTAGCCTGTCAGCTTGCGTTCGGACAGTGTTTTGTCTGGGTAGAAGAATTCAGCTCTGACTTTGACTAAGTGGAAGACATCCCGAGACAATCAGGGCATGATCTCAGGTTTTCCTGGAAGCCTGCATGTTGATTTAAGACAGCAAAGCAACCACTGACCTCTGTTTACCAATTTTGCTATGAATTTTGAAATCATTTGGAATGTCCAGACAACTTTCTGAATTTTCATTTAATGGTAAATTTAGTCGGTGACATTAAGGTCCTTGCTTTGTGGGCAAACAGCATCATGTAAGTTCAACGCAATCAAATCTATTATGCGACTCCCGGTTTATGGTGTTAGTACTTGAGGTGGGCAAGATGTAGTTCTTTGAAAGATGATAACCTAAAATTTTCTTTCCTGGAAATGGTAAGCACTATATATATTTATGCAGTGTCCCTTTCTAACTATATTCTATATCATCAATCTTCCCATCACTTTTTACATAATTACTGCAGCAAGTTATTACAGAAGGAAAGGAGATTTGAGGTTGAAAATTACAGATTTAGTACCAACCCTCTCCCAAAATAGCTGTGACTTTAATCAAAACATTGGAAATATTACTTAGGATTATCTGACCTGTCCTCTGGGATGATCAAGTAAGCTAATGAGTAGAAAAATGCTTTATAAACTGTAATGCAATAAAAAACCCATCGGTTATTGTTATGACTCTTGTACTTTTTCCTTTGTCTCTGTGAACAGTATTGTCATGTGATCTGACATTAGACTGCTGTTATGGTTATAGCATAGGAAGAACATTAAACACTCATGGGACTCTTCCTGTGGCTCCTTCATAAACATGACTTCATACTGGAAAAATTTAAATATCTCTCTCTCTCTCTCTCTCTCTCTCTCTCTCTCTCACACACACACACACACACACACACACACACACACACACACACACGCACATACACACAAATACACTTGCAACAATACCCCCTTCAGTTTAATTGTCAGCCTTCTAACAGGGTTGGGTGACAATTTTGAAAAGGATTATCTCCTTTTTCTTCAGAATTCTAAGATAAATCAGTTATTCTAGTATTAAACAACAACCCTGGGGATATGGCTTCTACACGTTAAAGTAACTCCTGGTTTATAATTTCATTTAAATCATCACACCTAAGGTTTTTAATCAAGGCCAGAAGACATTAAAAGCAAGTTCACATTGTGTGCCTGCAATCGTTTATTCATGTGTGAGTTAAGTAGTGGGTTTTAGCTTTGTATTCCTCACACACTAGAAGATATTAACCTTGTCAGTGGATTCTGTGACCAGTACTTAAAATAATACAATCCACTTTTATTGCATTTTTACTGTGTGTCACCCAGTGTGCTAACACCTTGAAAACATCATCTCTTAATGCTCCAGTCAACACTTTAGGGTAGGTACTATTGCTCCCCAAATTTGGGGAGAAGGGGTTGAAAAAAAACCCACTAAGGTTTGGAAGAGGATGCCACTTATACAAGGTCATGCACTTTGTAAATAAGGAACCTGAACTAGGATTCTCTGAACTCGGGACCTCTGCTTTTAACTACAATACTTTCCTGCCTCCCAAATGAAAGAGAGGTAACATATTCTACCAATGTTAGTATCCACTGAGTGCCTTGGTTTACAAATATATGTGGTCAATTTTCCCATCAGCAACATTTGACCCAAACCATGATACATGTATGGAGAGGGTGGCAAAAGAAATTTTCTATTTTTTAAAATATATTTTTATTGATTTCAGAGAATAAGGGAGAGAGAGAGAAACATCAATGATGAGAGAGAATTATTGATCGGCTGCCTCCTGCACACCCCCTGGATTAAGCCCACAACCCAGGCATCGAACCGTGACCTCCTGGTTTGTAGGCTGACACTGAACCACTGAGCAACTCTGGCCAGGCAACAATTTTCTATTTTTACCATGTCAAAGAATCCTTTGCTTCTTCCCTCTTCTTATGGAATGTCACTGATGTTCTATAAGTATAATCACCTGGGCACTAAGTTCAGAGATTTGGGTTCAATGATCGTCTATAGACCTTTATAGACACAATTAACTGTACTCCTGAGAAGGACTGAGTTTACAGGATGCTTAGAGTAAAAAAAGCAAGCAAATAAGCAAACACAACAACTACCAATAAATGATTGTCGTTGTTCTTGTTTTGCGTCTTTAAAGCTTGATCGTTGTTTCCCTTCAATTCAACCATTCATTAATTTACTGCATATGATGAGCACTGACCCTCTGCGGACACTTTCCTAGAACCAGGTGATATGTACTAATCAGAGAAGCAGGATCCCTCTAATATTGAAATTAGTCAGTAACAGTAAACCAAATAAATAGTTGCAATTGTGATGTGTGCTGAAAAGAAATGTCAAAACAGTGTATTCTTTCCCTAGAGCTACCTTAACAAATTACCACCAACTGGGTGGCTGAAAACAACAAAAATGTATTTCCTCATAGTTCTGGAGACTAGAAGTCTGAAGTCAGGATGCAGACCGGACGTGCTCTCTCTGACCTCCCTAAGCAAGGATCCTCCCTTGCCTTCTCTGGATTCTAGTACTTCCTGCAACCCTTGGTGTTCTTGGCTTGTGGATGCATCACTAGTCATACGGCTTTCTCCGCCCTGTGTATCTTCACATACTTTTCCCCCTGTGCACATCTGTCTCTGTCCAAATCTTCCCTTTCGCAAGGATCCCTGTCATTTCATATTGGGGCCCACTCTGACAACCTCATTTTAAATGGATTACCTCTGTGGACTCCGTCTCCAGGGGAGGTTACCACTTAACTTCCTTTCCTTTCTTTCTAGGCAGCCGTTTCCATATTGAGAATGTTCCATTGTTGAATGTGTATATGAAATAAAATGTCAATAACATGAAAATAACTCCTGCCAACAGGTGCATATCATGTGTCAAGCACAATGTAAATTATTTTTAATGATTTTGTAAATTAGTAAATCTAGCAAAGTGCCCTGTGCACATTTCAGTAGGTGATTCTAATTATTACTAGAATTTCTATTAATAAGTTTTTGCCTGCCTCACTAAATTTAATATCTTAATATTTTAAAGCAAAGCTTAATGCTGAACTTCTGAGTGATGTTATTTTATGGATTAAGCAAATGATACCAACATGTAAAAAGAAAGGATGAAAATGTGTAGAAATCTGTTTCTAATCAAGTTTGTTTGTTGAAATAATTATCAAACTCTACCCAACAATATAACAATTTCTAAAAATTATCCTACAATAACTTTTTTTCAATTTTTTAAATGGGCATATTAACTAAAACATCTAATTTAGCCTTCTCAGAATAAGCTTTGGGGAACAAATGCCAATGTAAATGCTTTGGATAAAGGGAGCCCTGATCCCACTTTCTTGCTATGTATTATTTGTGCCCTGAACATTGGGAAAGTATAGAGCTTATCTATAATAATAAAAATGTAATGTGCTAATTATAACAGACTTCCTTCTGGACGTCCTTGTGGGCTAAATTGGGGCTGCGAGGGAAGCCAGGGTTCCAGGCACCAGAGGGAAGCCGGTGCCAGCACTTGGGAGAAGGAAGGCCTACTCGTGCATGAATTTTGTGCATCAGGGCTCTAGTTAGCATATAAAGGCTCTGAGAAGTTCTGCAACAAAGGAGTCTCCTTTACTTTCACACATAATCCCTGCAATGTTTGTAATCACAGATATCCTCTTTAGATTATACCTACTGCACTGTGAACAAAAACCACTCTCTTTTTATTTCTTGCTCATGTGTTGGGAAGATAAAGTGAGCCTGACATTTTCTCAGAGGCAGAGTGTAAATTCACAGGTAAACTCCCACTTGGTGGCCACAGGTAGAATGTCTCTTTTCTCATCCCTTGGATTTCTAATTTTTAGAAACAAAATGTCCTTGCAGTAGACCTTGGAGTTCTCATAGCATCAGTCTAACCATGGAGACATGAGCATAGCTTTCGTTTGCACCCCAGAGATATTTCAGGAATGTCCTCCATTCTCTATCTCACTTTTTCTCTCATTGTTTCTTTTCCTTTCCTCTCTGGTTATTTCCACTGTCTTCCTCTCAATGTAGCTTCACCATGAGGCATATTCCCTTTTAGCCCACCATGCAATTTTGAGGCCTTGATTTAAAATAGGCACTGCAGATGTTTTCCCTAAGTGAGCCCTCTGAAGCATCTCCTTGGGTACACAAGGTTCTTGCCTTTGTGTTTACCACTGGAACAGAGTTAGCATCCAAATTAATGTGCAGCTATGACCGCCCTGGAACAAAGCAGGGATTGTGTGATGACTCATTGGCTAAACTGCTTTACTTCCTTCCAACAATTCATATGTGTGTGTTGGGTTTCAGGAGGATATACACAAATATTCAAAGCAGAATCCAACTTACAATTACCACCACTTTAGGTAGAGTTTTAGCACTATTATCATGCACAGCCCAAATAGGACTCTGTGTTCAATAACACCTT